TCAGAAATAGCGGAGCTCTCTGCAGATACACTTTTTGCTGTACTGGAATACTTCTTCTTTTCATTCTTTTTTTCATTCTTCTCATTCTTCTTTTATTCATCATTTCATTCTTCTTCTCATTCTTCTTTTCATTCTTCTTCTTCTTTTCATTCTTCTTTTCATTCTTCTCATTCTTCTTTTCTTCTTCATGAAAAGAAGAATGAGAAGAAGAATGAAAAGAAGAATGAGTAGAATGAAAAGAAGAATGAGAAGAAGAATGAGAAGAAGAATGAGAAGAATGAAAAGAAGAATGAGAAGAATGAAAAAGAAGAATGAGAAGAATGAAAAGAAGAATGAAAAGAAGAAGAAGAATGAAAAGAAGATTGAAAAGAAGAAGAAGAAGAATGAAAAGAAGAATGAGAAGAAGAATGAAAAAAGAATGAGAAGAATGAAAAAGAATGAAAAGAAGAATAAGAATGAAAAGAAGAATGAGAAGAAGAATGAGAAGAATGAAAAGAAGAATGAAAAGAAGAAAAAGAATGAGAAGAAGAATGAGAAGAAGAATGAGAAGAATGAAAAGAAGAATGAAAAGAAGAAGAAGAATGAAAAGAAGAAGAAGATTGAAAAGAAGAATGAAAAGAAGAAGAAGAAGAATCTTTTCATTCTTCTCATTCTTCTTTTCATTCTTCTTTTCATTCTTCTTCTTCTTCTTTTCATTCTTATTCTTCTTTTCATTCTTCTTTTCATTCTTCTTTTCATTCTTCTTCTTTTTTTCTTTTCATTCTTCTTCTTCTACTTTTTACTTCTTCATGAAAAGAAGAATGAGAAGAAGAATGAAAAGAAGAATGAAAAGAAGAAGAAGAATGAAAAGAAGAATGAGAAGTAGAATGAAAAGAAGAATGAAAAGAAGAATGAGAAGAATGAAAAGAAGAAGAAGAATGAAAAGCAGAATGAAAAGAAGAAGAAGAATGAAAGAAGAATGAGAAAAAGAAGAAGAATGAAAAGAAGAAGAAGAATGAAAAGAAGAATGAAAAAAAGAAGAAGAAGAATGAAAAGAAGAAGAAGAATGAAAAGAAAAGAAGAATGAAAAGAAGAAGAAGAATCTTTTCATTCTTCTCATTCTTCTTTTCATTCTTCTTCTTCTTTTCATTCTTCTTTTCATTCTTCTTCTTCTTTTTTCTTTCTTCTTTTCATTCTTCTTTTCATTCTTCTTTTCATTCTTCTTTCATTCTTCTTCTTCTTTTTTCATTCTTCTTCTTCTTTTCTTCTTCTTTTCATTCTTCTTCATTCTTCTTTTCATTCTTCTTCTTCTCTTTTCATTCTTCTTTTCATTCTTCTTCTTCTTCTTTTCATTCTCTCATTCTTCTTTCATTCTTCTTTTCATTCTTCTTCTTCTTCTTTTCATTTCTTCTTCTCTTTTCATTCTTCTTTTCATTCTTCTTTCTTCTTTTCTTCTTCTTCTTCTTCATTTTCATTCTTCTTTTCATTCTTCTTTTCATTCTTCTTCTCATTCTTCTTTTCATTCTTCTTTTCATTCTTCTTCTGATTCTTCTTTTCATTCTTCTTCTTTTCATTCTTCTTTTCTTCTTCATGAAAAGAAGAATGAGAAGAAGAATGAAAAGAAGAAGAAGAATGAAAAGAAGAATGAGAAGAAGAATGAAAAGAAGAATGAAAAGAAGAATGAAAAGAAGAATGAGAAGAATGAAAAGAAGAATGAAAAGAATGAAAAGATGAATGAAAGAATGAGAAGAAGAATGAAAAGAAGAATGAAGAAGAATGAAGAAGAAGAATGAAAGAAGAATGAGAAAAGAAGAATGAAGAAGAATGAAAAGAGAAGAAGAAGAATCTTTTCATTCTTCTCATTCTTCTTTTCATTCTTCTTTTCATTCTTCTTTTCATTTCTTTTCATTCTTCTTCTTCTTTTCATTCTTCTTCTTCTTTTCATTCTTCTTTTCATTCTTCTTCTTCTTTTCATTCTTCTTCTTTTTTTCATTCTTCTTTTCATTCTTCTTCTTTCTTTTCATTCTTCATTCTTCTTTTCATTCTTCTTCTTCTTCTTCTTCTTTTCATTCTTCTTCATTCTTCTTTTCATTCTTCTTTTCATTCTTCTTTTCTTTTCATTCTTCTTTTCATTCTTCTTCTTCTTCTTTTCATTCTTCTTCTTCTTCTTTTCATTCTTCTTTTCATTCTTCTTTCTTCTTTTCATTCTTCTCATTCTTCTTTTCATTCTTCTCATTCTTCTTTTCATTCTTCTTTCTTTTTTCATTCTTCTTCTTCTTCTTTTCATTCTTCATTCTTCTTTTCATTTGAATTCTTCTTTCAGAATTCTTTTCTTCTTCATTCAAAAAAGAATGAATGAGAAGAAGAATGAAAAGAAATGAGAAGAATGAAAAGAAGAATGAGAAGAAGAATGAAAAGAATGAAGAATGAAAAGAAGAATGAAAAGAAGAATGAAAAGAAGAAAAGAAGAATGAAAAGAAGAATGAGAAAAAGAATGAAAAGAAGAATGAGAAGAAGAATGAGAAGAATGAGAAGAATGAAAAGAAGAATGAAAAGAAGAAGAAGAATGAAATGAAAAGAAGAATGAAGAAGAAGAAGAAAGAAGAAGAAGAATTCTTCTCATTCTTCTTTTCATTCCTCTCTTCTTTTCATTCTTCTTTCTTCTTTTCTTCTTCTTCTTCTTTTCTTCTTTCTTTTCATTCTTCTTCTTCTTCTTTTCATTCTTCTTCTTTTCATTCTTCTTTTTCATTCTTCTTCTTCTTCTTCATTCTTCTTTTCATTCTTCTCATTCTTCTTTTCATCTTCTTCTTTTCTTTTCTTCTTCTTCTTCTTTTCATTCTTCTTTTTCTTTTCAAGAAGAAGAAATGATTCTTCTTCTTTTCATTCTTCTTTTCATTCTTCTTCTTCTTCTTTTCTTCTTTTTCTTTTCATTCTTCTTCTTCATTCATTCTTCTTTTCATTCTTCTTCTTTTCTTTTCATTCTTCTTCTTCATTCTTTCATTCTTCTTTTTTTCCTTCTTCTTTTCATTCTTCTTCTTTTCATTCTTCTTCTTCATTCTTCTTTCATTCTTCTTCTTTTCATTCTTTTCATTCTTCTTTTCTTCTTCAATGAAAAGAAGAATGAAAAGAAGAATGAAAAAGAATGAAAAGAAGAATGAAAAAAATAGAAGAAGAAGAATGAAAAGAAGAATGAGAAGAAGAATGAAAGAATGAAATGAAAGAATGAAAGAAGAAGAAGAATGAAATGAAGAAAGAAGAAAATGAAAAGAAGAATGAGAAGAAAAGAAGAATGAAAAGAAGAAGAAGAATGAAAAGAAGAAGAAGAATGAAAAGAAGAATGAAAAGAAGAATGAGAAGAAGAATGAAATTCTTCTTTTCATTCTTCTTTTCATTCTTCTCATTCTTCTTTTCATTCTTCTTCTTCTTCTTTTCATTCTTCTTCTTTTCATTCTTCTTCTTTCATTCTTCTTCATTCTTCTTCTTTTCATTTTCTTTCTTTTCATTCTTCTCATTCTTCTTCTTTTCATTCTTCTTTTTTTCATTCTTCTTTTCATTCTTCTTTTCTTCTTCATGAAAAGAAGAATGAGAAGAAGAATGAAAAGAAGAATGAAAAGAATTCATTCTTCTTCTTGAAAAGAAGAATTTTCTTCAAGAATGAAAAGAAGAATGAAGAAGAAGAAGAATTCTTCTTGAAAGAAAGAAGAATGAAAAGAATGAATGAGAAGAAGAAGAAGAAGAAGAAAAGAAGAAGAAGAAGAAAAGAAGAATGAAAAAGAATGAAGAAGAAGAATGAAAAGAAGATGAAGAAGAATGAAAAGAAGAATGAAAAGAAGAATTTCAAGAAAAGAAAATGAGAAGAATGAGAAAGAATGAAAAGAAGAATGAAAGAAGAATTTCAAAGAAGAATTCATTCTTCTTCTTCTTCTTTTCATGAAAAAGAAGAAGAAGAATTCTTCTTTTCATTCTTCTTCAAAAGAAGAATTCTTTTCATTCTTCTTTCTTCTTCTTCTTTTCATTCTTTTCATTCTTCTTCATTCTTTCTTCATTCTTCTTCTTCTTCATTCTTCTTCTTCTTCTTCTTCTTCTTCTTCTTCTTCTTTTCATTCTTCTTCTTCTTCTTTTCATTCTTCTTTTCATTCTTCTTCTTCTTTTTCATTCTTCTTTTCATTCTTCTCATTCTTCTTTCATTCTTTTTCATTCTTCTTCTTTTCTTTTCTTCTTCATTCTTCTTTTCTTTCTTCTTCTTCTTCATGAAAAGAAGAATGAGAAGAAGAATGAAAAGAAAGAATGAAAAGAAGAATGAAAAGAAGAATGAGAAGAAGAATGAAAAGAAATGAAGAAGAATGAGAAGAATGAAAAAAATGAAAAAAGAAGAAGAATGAAAAGAAAGAATGAATGAAGAAGAATGAAAAGAAGAATGAAAGAAGAAGAAGAAGAAGAATGAAAAGAAGAATGAAAAGAAGAATGAAAAGAAGAAGAAATGAAAAGAAGAATGAAAAGAAGAAGAAGAATCTTTTCATTCTTCTCATTCTTCTTTTCATTCTTCTTTTCTTCTTTTCTTTTTTCTTCTTCTTCTTTTTCATTCATTCTTCTTCTTCTTTTCATTCTTCTTTTTCATTCTTCTTCATTCTTCTTCTCATTCTTCTTCTTCTCATTCTTCTTCTTTTCTTTTCATTCTTTTCTTTTCTTCTTCTTCTTCTTCTTTTCATTCTTCTTTTCATTCTTCATTCTTCTTTTTTCTTCTTTTCTTCTTCTTCTCTTCTTCTTTCTTCATTCTTCTTTTCATTCTTTTTCATCTTCTTTTCATTCTTCTTTTTCTTCTTCTTCATTCTTCTTCTTTTCATTTCTTCTTTTTTCATTCTTCTTCTTTTCATCTTCTTCTTCTTTTCATTCATTCTTTTTCATTCTTCTTTTCATTCTTCTTCTTTTCATTCTTTCTTCTTCTTCTTCTTTCTTTTCATTCTTCTTTTCTTCTTCATGAAAAGAAGAATGAAAAGAAGAATGAAAAGAATTTTTTCTTCATGAAGAATGAGAAGAAGAATGAAAAGAAGAATGAAAAGAAGAAGAATGAAAAGAAGAATGAAAAGAAGAAAAGAATGAAAAGAAGAATGAAAATGAAGAATGAAAAGAAGAATGAAAAGAAGAAGAAGAATGAAAAGAATGAAAAGAAGAATGAAAAGAAGAATGAGAAGAAGAATGAAAAAGAATGAAATGAAGAATGAAAAGAAGAAGAAGAAAATGAAAAGAAGAAGAAGAAGAAGAATGAAAAGAAGAAGAAGAATCTTTTCATTCTTCTCATTCTTCTTTTCATTCTTCTTTTCATTCTTCTTCTTTTCATTCTTCTTCTTCTTCTTTTCATTCTTCTTCTTTTTTTTCATTTTCTTTTCATTCTCTTCTTCTTCTTTTCTTCTTTCTTCTTTTCATTCTTTTCATTCTTCTTTTTCATTCTTCTTCTTTTCTTCTTCTTACTTTCTTTTCTTCTTCTTCTTTTCATTCTTCTTCTTCATTCTTTTCTTCTTCTTTTCATTCTTCTTCTTCTTTTCATTCTTCTTCTTCTTCTTTTCATTCTTCTCATTCTTCTTTTCATTTTCTTCATTCTTCTTTTCATTTCTTCTCATTCTTCTTTTTCATTCTTCTTTTCATTCTTCTTTTCATTCTTCTTTTTCATTCTTCTTCTTTTCATTCTTCTTTTCATTCTTCTTTTCTTCTTCATGAAAAGAAGAATGTGAAGAAGAATGAAATGATTCCTCTGTTCGGGACTAAGAAGCAGAACGTTTGTCGCCCATCTCGGTCCATCCAGCACAATTGTGGACTAACAGGGACAGTCAGAAGGGCTGCAATGTATTGTCTATAGAAGAGCGAGATGACAAGAGACATGACTTGTGTGCGGATCTGGGAGGAGATACAATGTGATTTCTGCCTTTTCTCTCCGAATCCCACTTCCAAGGACAATCCGATCCCGGCGATGACAGTGTGGACTTTGATGGCACAATGACAATCTATCGCTGAGGATGTGAGGAGGCGGACATCTAGTCTGCAGCAATTCATCCATTCATTTCACATTTACGAGTTTATTTGTAACAAACATTATTTGGTACTTGTCTGTTAATACACCGGGTTTATAAATATTTTCATCTGATAGGAATATTTTTTTTTTAAATTCCCGCCAAGATCTGCGGGTTATCTTTGTTAGAGAATATCCCGATCTCTCTGGGAGCTCCTTACTGCCAGATGAGAAAACATTGATAAGAAAGATGTTTATAATTCAAGATTCAAACGTCTTATCAATGTAAGAATTGCAATCTCCGAGAGAGGACTATTTCTGTCCATAATTCAGTAAATTGGATGACATAAAGTAAAGGGGGAGGGAAATAAATCGTCCCAATGCATCTACACCCCTCATTTATGATAACTGTATTACAATTTATAACCTCCACTTTCCATTCTGTGTATTAATCTGATGCACCTGAAATTCACAGACTGCTGTAATGAAAAAGAGAGAGGAAAAAATAAAGATATATACACACATGGTGTATTTAGATTTTGTGCTGCCCTAGGCAACACAATAATTTAGCGCCCCCCCCCCCCATGAGAGAGCGAGATAAGTGTGTGTATATATGATTCTCTCCCTCTTCTATATCTTCTCTCTCTCCCTTCCCACATCATATGGGACTGCACACAAACACCTTCTCCAAATGCTGCTGATCTCCGGGCAGCAGGAAGGAGGGGGGGGGGGGGGGGGCAGCCCCATAAGATTCATCAGTGTAGGGTGGGAGGCAGGGAGATCCCACAGAATACAGCACGGCTCACCTCCAGGCTCATTCCTCTCTTGACACTTCTCCTCTCTCTGCTCCAGGCTGTCCAGTCCCGGCTCGTCAGCTGCTAAAGGGAGAGGTACAGGAGCATCGCTCTGCAACTGTCCTCCCCCGCATCCATTCTCCTGCTGTCCGGACCACTGCAAGGGTACCTGTGCACCCCTCTCCTGGCGGCCCTGCCTGCCGCTGCCCAAAGGACCCTTCATCTGGGGGGCGGTGTCCGCCCCCCCTAAAAATTGCCACCCTAGGCAAACGCCTTGTTTGCCTCTCGGTAGATACGCCCCTGCATATACACTATATTGCCAAAAGTATTGGTCTTAGCCATCAATTGCTCGTCAATAAACACAAACCTTGGCTAGCCACCTGTTTAATGTCAGCCAGGAGAGCCATCCTAAAAAAGTGGACTTCGCTACCCCCACCGTCAATAGATTTGAAACAAGGCCTCAACAGCCTACTTTGCATAGAACATCTGGATCTTCAAGTCTCTACCTCTCAAACTTTTTCACCTGTGTAAAGGGATCAATGACATCACTAAATGGTATCCTATCCCTGCCCGCCCAGCCTACTGGACAGGTTGACAATGTTTCCCTTCAGCTCAGATGATACAAACCTGAGCTACACTACATCTGAGTCAGAGCTCCCTAGTATCTGTCAGACGCCTCGTCCCCATAGAGGGATATATATATGCTTCCACTACCTGGTCCCCCTTCACACCAGGCAGGCTCTAGTGATATGGTAACACTAGGAATGATTCTCTTTCAAATGCTACTGAGGGAACTAATGTCTTTCACACGTTTAACTGAACCGAACATAAGTCATCTGAGATCCTTCTATTCTCTGTGCTCTCTATTCTTTACTTAACTCTCCCTTTTAACACCCCCACCTTTCTTTCTACTCCCTCTCCGTCATGTGATGGAGAGTGACGTCATGACTTCTTTCCTCGAGTACAGATTAGTGTAGAAACAAGTCTGACCGCTATTGGCTGAATTCTAAAGCGACCAATCCCAGCGTGTGACGTCAGAGCATGGAGTGTATAAAGGAGAGGAGCGCGGCTGCTGGGACCTATCTGTGTGTGATTCGTCAGTCATCCAATCATGTCTGGTCGCGGCAAACAAGGAGGCAAGGCTCGGGCTAAGGCCAAGACCCGATCGTCCCGGGCCGGTCTGCAGTTCCCCGTCGGTCGTGTTCACCGTCTGCTCCGGAAGGGCAACTATGCCGAGCGGGTCGGGGCCGGAGCTCCCGTCTATCTGGCCGCCGTCCTGGAGTATCTGACGGCTGAGATCCTGGAGCTGGCCGGCAACGCCGCCCGAGACAACAAGAAGACCCGCATCATCCCCCGACACCTCCAGCTGGCTGTCCGCAACGACGAGGAGCTCAACAAGCTGCTGGGCGGCGTCACCATCGCCCAGGGAGGAGTCCTGCCCAACATCCAGGCCGTGCTGCTGCCCAAGAAGACCGAGAGCCACAAGGCCGCCAAGAGCAAGTAATCCCCCCACAGGATTCCCTTCTATCCGCCAACACAACGGCTCTTCTCAGAGCCCCCCACATCTCCATACAAAGGGCGGACATACGGCTTCTATGGACACCAATCCCACACTCCTCTCTATCTCCCGCTTCTATGGGATTCTCGGGGTCTGGGGGGTGGAGGAGGAAAGTCGGCGACTTCTTCCCTCCGTCCTGCTCTGTAGATCTCGGATTAGTAAAGGACGTTCTGGGATGGAAGCTGTCACGTGTTTGTAATGACAATGCTAAGAGGTGGAAATCCTTCCCGCCGTCCGGACAGTAAGTCTCCTCTACATCCGGGTGTCATCTCTGCTTCTCCATAGGAAGAGGTTTGGACGCCGGGAAGGATTTCTATGTTGAACTTTCTGGGGAGAAAGTGATCTCTCGGCGCCCCGGGATTGGGCGGGTTATTTGTAGCCGATAACCGGTTTTCACATCCGAATTCTAAAAGATAATTTTCCTAAAATGTTTATCGATCCTGATCAGATAATTTACTCCGAAACATTTTTTTCTGTCTCTATATGATTAAAAAACGGTCATTGCTTCAATTGTATAATAAATTCCACTTTCCCGCCGGAATTCTATGGACCGTTACAGACAATCTGCATCCATTGACCGTTATATCTGGGAAGATCGATCAATCCTTCCATTCATTCCGAGCATTGCAACTATTCATGTGAAATGTGTTTTATTTGTATTCAAAACCCGACAAGATGGAGTTCTGTTTACTGATTTTATTGAATTTCCTGCACTATGAATATATATATATTTTTTTTTACTTGAGACAACGCCCACAGCTGTGATTGGCTCAGATTTCAAATTCTGCCGCCGGAATAGTGTAGATCGTTTCAGAGAAATATTCAGCACGATTATACCGCCAAATCCGAGCCGGAGAACAAAGGAGATCATCAGATGACATATATAAACAAACACCACTCCCCTGACTAATCGATAAATCTGCTTGGAATGAAAGTCTACTGGTTACTGAATCCTTTCAATATCAGATCTATTAAAGACTTGCAGCTGTTACAGATCTCACATCTAGAATATTGATGAAATGATTGGTAGAAATAACTCCTAACACTGCCAAATAAATATGTACAATGAAAAGAATGTTTGAGTTTCTAAATATTCCCCGAGAGATTGATGATCTCAAGGTTTCTATTAATAGCCCTTCGTATGAGAAGGTGGGCGGCCCTGAGAAGGGCCTTTTTGACGATGAAGGGGGGTGGGGGGGGCGGTTATGATGATTTATCCTCCGAATCCGTAGAGAGTGCGTCCCTGCCGTTTGAGAGCATAGACGACATCCATGGCGGTGACGGTCTTCCTCTTGGCGTGCTCGGTGTAGGTGACGGCATCGCGGATGACATTCTCCAGGAAGACTTTCAGCACTCCGCGGGTCTCCTCATAGATGAGGCCGGAGATGCGCTTGACTCCCCCTCTGCGGGCCAAACGTCGGATGGCGGGTTTGGTGATGCCCTGGATGTTGTCCCGGAGCACCTTCCTGTGGCGCTTGGCGCCGCCTTTCCCCAGACCCTTCCCTCCTTTACCGCGACCAGACATGACGATTCTTCTCTGCTGCAAACACCGACTGACCTCTGGGCTGGGCCCGCCTTCCTTTTATAGAGCACGAGCGGACCTGATGGGAACCTTCCTGGGAAGAGGCGGAGTCACACCCATTCATTACACACAATACAATTGGATTCATTTGTACTCATTGAATGTTCTCAGGTCGGATTTGGCGTTAATCGGGCATTATACACATTCTGCGGTTTTCAAATATATAGATCCATCTCCAGGAGAGAAATCTCTTCATTCTTCTCAATGGTTTTCTATTTCTTCCTCGGAGATTACACAGAAACATTCATCTTTCACATTTCAGAACACAAAACATATTCTGAGGGATTGGAGGGAAAACATAAATCTTAATAAACGTTCTTTATATGAATATTTGCAATGTCCTTATAACGATGTTTAGCTGATCGCAGAGCCTGGAATAAATGGAAGGGTTGATCGATCTTCCCAGATAACGGTAAATGGATGCGGTCGGTTCTCCGTATCGGATTTGGCGGTAAGAGGGCGGATTGTCTGTGACGTCACATAGAATTCCGGCGGGAGATTTGAATGAAGCAATTAGAAAGTTGAGCCAATGACAGTTATAGACGTTTCCTTCAGATAGTAAAACATCTTTTTTTTTCTACGTGGAGTGTGAAGGAGGTGATGAGATCTGTTCCCTCAGTCGGGAGGATCGTTGTTCGGTATATATTGAACGATCTCTGATCTTCAGGAGAAACTCATCACAACTAAAGGAAGGCGGATAAGATCAGTCCCTGGAATAAGATGTCATTTCCCCAGAGTCTCACACTGAAAGCATTTTCTATTATGAATGTATAATTGTCATCATAATTAAAATATATAATATGGTATTGTAAAATAATTATAACATTTAAATTATAAAAACAAATTTTAAAAAAAAGTCAGTTATTTTAGATTTTGTAACAACATATCTTGAGGATAATTGACATGGGGGAAGACACATTAGCCGCAGGACTTTAAAAAACCGGTTCAGCTCCGCCCTATTGCAGAATTACTACTACAGGGCGGGCTCCCTGCACACAATCATATGTATATATACATGACTTGTGCTCCCGCCTTGATCGCAGGCCATGGGCGCACACGCCTGCCAACCCAGGGGTGCCGTGGTTCCGTGCCCAACCGATCAATCAGCAGATGAAGGCCAGTGATGTTCAGGATGGATTTGCTGATTGCTCCCTGCCCTATCAGTGATCTTCCTGTACTTGTGATTACACTTACACAGGTACAGGAAATGATGGAATCTTCTCTCCCTGGGCACATTCCATTCCAGAGAGAGAAGAAAGCAGATCCACGTGGGTCAAAAGTATTACACTTTTACAGTAAAAGCACAGCTAGGTCACATTTAACCCCCTTCACTCTCCCTGTTAACCCCTTCACTCCCCTGTCACCAGTGTCTTTAGTACAGTGTACAGATTTTTTTAATGATCACTGTATTAGTGTCTCTGGCGACTTCAGCTAACATTAGCATCCCACGATGCTGTTGAAGATGAACTGTAACTGGTCTCAGGGTTTTGAGGGGGATAAGTTGCTGAAGATCTGGAGTTTGGCCCCTTTGAATTCAAGAGATGTTTTGTTAGAGGTGGAGTTGAGCAGGGCCTCTTTACTGGACACCCCAAGGAATTTGTTAAGAAGCATGGTGAGTATTTTACAGATCTCCATCTTTGCCACAAGTTTTTGGAAAAACTAAGAAAGAAAAAAAAAAAAAATTTTTTATTTATTTATTTTTATATTTCAAAACCTTGAGAGAAAAACATGAGATCTGCAAAATACTCACCATGCCTCTTTTTATATTCCTTGGGGTGTCTACCCTTTCCTTTCTAATTTCTAGACAAAAGGAAATTGTGTGCTGAGTGAGCTCACTGTGCACTTCTAGGTCACTGACTAAGTTCCCAGTCAGGACTTTGGGACAAGCTCACATCATGTGACCACGGTAAGATCCATTGACAGTGGTCACATATAAAATCAACATTGCCTCCTGGGCATTAAAGTCCACTTGAAAGGGTCAGCAGATGACACTAAGGGTTAATGGTGTAGCTAGACCAGGGGTGGGCAAACTTTTTGACTTGAGGGCCGCAATGGGTTCATTTTGGACCCGGGGGGACCAAGAGTAGATGAATGATGTGTATGTGTCATCCATAGTAAGTATAGTAATATTCCTCCATAGTAGCATAGTAATTAATCCCCATATAGTAATTCATCCCCCATATAGTAATTCATCCCCCATATTAAGTCCCCAAGTCCCCCCTGTGTCAATTCATTACCTTTGCTCCGCGCGTTCCTCTCGCCTTGTTCCTGTGCCGTTCCGGTGTAGCATGAAAACTGTCTCCTATGAGGATCTGTCCCCCTCAATGTATCTGCGATGTGCCAGTTTCAGGCATTAGAGGCGATGGAGATCTCCGGCAATGCGCAGATACGTCGAGGGGGACAGATCCTCATAGGAGACAGATTTTATGCTACACCGTCTTCAGAGCGGACTGTGAGAGGAGCCTAGCGGGATGCCTAGCTCCGCGGGCCGGATTTTCCGCCGGGCCGTAGTTTGCCCATTGCTGAGCTAGAGCCATAACAGACCTCGCTTTTCCTATGGGGCCCAGAGCTGTCCAGCTGCACATGGATCTATGCAGCTGGCAATAGCATTTGATGGATATATTTGGACAAAATGCTATTTCTGGATCACTACACAGTTGCTATGAACATTAATACATTCTCCATCAATGGAGGATGTGTTCTTGAGGTGGAGATCCAGAAACAAGTGTTCCCCGTTTTACATGGTTTAAATTATTTGGATGTATTTTTTTTTTTTACTTAAAAAAGCTGTAAAAAAAAAAAAAAAAAGTCAATTTCTCGTTGTTAAGGAGTAGGCCGCCACATTCTTAACAACAGATGACTCATTCAGCTTTCAGTGGGGTTCCCCTGCTGACAGCCGAAGTGTAAAGAAAAAGAAATGTCCCAGAAAATTGGAACTGTCAAAAAAAAAGCAGCCTAACAATGTTTATAAACAGCATTGCTCAGCCCTAAAACAGAAAGATAAGAAGAAACATTGTTTAATTTTGTTTCTTTCTGTTTATTCATCTACAGATCAAAAGGGATGAACTTCATTCTGCAGTTGAAGTCAGTTAAAAGCAACCTGTCAAATATGCATTTATTTTTTTTTTATTTAAATGTTCCTCTGTTTAACCCCTTATTAACCCTTCATTTACTGTAATCAGCTCTAGTTAACTCCTTTTTATCTTTCTCCATTTAATTATCTTCCTGATGATTTTTTTTTTTCTATGTTATAAACTACTGTATTAATAATTAAAAAATATATATATATATATATTTTTTTTTTTTTTTTTGTCTGGTTTGTTTATTATTTTCACACCTTCACTTCTCATTCACCCGCCTGCCT